GGTGGTGGCTTTGTGATCTGGATCCTGCTTGGTAGGATCTATGCAGAGACCAACAACTCATTCTACAGAGCCCACTCTGCAGGCATCAGATGACTGTGGCTTTCAGTTACTACCTCTGGATCAGAGCCAGAAGCCTAGTGGTGAAAAGCTCTTTATACCATTACCAATCCCTCGAGCCACCCAGTCCTTCTCCATTGCATACAGGTTTTTAGTGTTGTGCCTTAAGATCTGTTCTGGTTCTGAGTAACGTTCTTTGTGATGGCAGTCTTGCCACTCCCCCTCTCATGAGGGAAAAAAAACAACGAGGAGGGAGTGTGAAACTTATTTTCAAACTGTGTTACGATTATCTGATGCAGTGACTACTCTGGGATTCTCCAAGGGAGAGACCTGAGTCCTGGGGAATGTCTGCCTTAGGTGAAGGGAAGGCTCCAGGCTGGTCAGTGCTGGGATGTGTGTGCTGCTGCCTTCACTTGGGCGGCAGCTCTTGGACAGCAGCACCCACCCACTGCCAGAGCTCCTCACAGGGATGGCTCCAAAGCATTCCAGGACATCCACAGGCTGACCAGGCCCGAGTGCACGTGCAGGTTGGTCTGGCCTTGAGTGCTGACACAGAATGATGCTCGATGGCAGCATAAATACACCCCTGGAGAGGGCAGAACGTACAACCAGTGAGCCTCAGAGCATCTGTTCTCAGCTGGTCCCCATCTGAGCTATCCCCCGACAGAGTCAGAGGCGAAACTGTGCCATCTCTGCACTCCTGTCCTCCAGTTCAGCAGGGAGAAGTGACTCACTGTGATGTTATACCCGTGCAGATTTCTCTTCCAGCAGCTTTTCTCCCAGACTCTTCAAAAGCACATCACACAGAGCAGCTGCTTTCCCCACAGGGAACAAGCTGCAGGGGACTTAACAGTAATACACTGGTACCCAGCCTTCACGAAGAGGGCTGTAAGCTGCTGATCCTGCAATAACACCTCCGAGGATTTAGAGTCTTTAATGTTGATTGCTGAATATTTCTGTTCCCCTCTGAACCATTCCAACAGTTGTTTCAAGCGAATGTATTCATTCCCTTCCTTTTAACCATTGGAGCTTCTCGCTTGGTCTGGGAGCAGGGAAGAGGGAATGAAAGGGTCTCTTCAAATTTGCTGTAGCTGCTCTCTTAAAAGAGAGCATTGACACAGGTTCTGCAGCTCTCTGGTGCAGCGAGGCTCCCGCAGGACCTGCAGGCACAGAGAGACTGCCCGATCCGTGTGGGCACTCCAGGAAGAGCGTGGCTGTTCTCCTCCCCTCTGCATGGGAGTATCATATCTATTCCCAGCATGGATCTACCAGGTGGCAGCACTCCCCTGCCAACATACTTTTGGTTTGGCTTACCTTGAAGGCTATGATGTTATAATATATGATGACGTCATTATATTTATTTCAACTTTCATTGAAGATTCCTGGCAAATCTCCGAGCTGGAATATCTTCTTTTTAATGGGTCCAAGATCCAGCCAACGTGGTGTGCAGATTACATTTACACAACACAGCCCAAGCAAGGTGAAGTGTTGATGTTACTAAATTAAGATTACTTCTCTGTTAAAACTATGAGAGAGCAAAAACTTGTCCGGTATTTATACAAATACTACTGCTGTAATTTCTGGCTGTGGTTGTTTTGGTGATGACTCCATCGTGCACTCGTGCAATCTCAAGAATTCATCTTTGTGGCAGTGTTTTGAAAATGATAAAACGAATCAAGTATATTTTTTCAGTTAAGTACATATGTGAGGACACAGCGCTCTAATGGCGTGTCTAATATTTTCTAGATGGTTCATTTTCATCACACTACCTGCACTAGTTTTGAATGAGCTTTTTACAAACCTCTGGCCAACTTCCTCTAGTCTACTCTTTTATGCTTTTATCAACTGTGTTACTCTTAGGCCTTAACTTTAGTGGATTTTGAATAAACACATGGTGTGAGAGAACGAATTATTCTGGCTAAAGACTAACTATAGTGATGAAGACGATGACATCCTGCACTCCTCATCAGGAACTACAGCACATAGGTTAAATACCCAAGTGAGGTTGCACAGTCTATGGCTGAAGCAGAAATTAATTTAAATTCCCAGTATTACGCTTTAAGACCCTAAAATTGCAAAAGAAGAAACTGAAGATTAACTAAAAGCAAACTTTCAACCTTTCCCTTCTTATTTCTTCCCCACAGTGATCTCTGTGAGGTCTTACGATGCCACTACAAAGATCAGCAAACAGAAATTGTCTGTGTTATGAATTGATTTCTATTTAAAAGAGCTATAATTCAATTTTGCTTTAAAAACATATTACAAAATCCAATATTAAACAGATTTGCATAGAAACATTCATCAGAAAGATATTTTATTTGTTTGGCTTGAAACACTTCCACTACAAGCCAAATATTTCAACACCAGGGCAAGAGGACCAGAAAGTGGACCTGACCAGAAACAACAGTGAAAACTACTAGTTTATTTTTGCTCCACCAGCTGACAAAATTTAGCTATTTATTTAAATGAAAAAATCATGGGCCTTGTGGATGGTGAAACTTGACTTTTTTAAAACCCAAAATATTCTTGTAAATTTATTATTAACGGGGTGTTGTTGGTTGAGAAAGCACATGTGTACACATGACTCTCTGATTACAATGACTCTTGGATGAAAAATAAGGCAGATCCGGTGATAGATACTTAGACTACATTACCAGCACACTTCTTTTGCACTCACACAACACTCACCAACACACACCCGGCTCTGCCCACAGGAACATTTTAAATCTTGAAGCGAGCAGTCAGAGGTGGTTTCCAGATGAAGTCTCTGTTTGCCCCATTGCTGGGATCACCGACAGATAAATCACTGGGTGAGCCCCCTCACTAAGTAGTGGGAATATTACTTTAGTAAAGTTTGCTAATGGGGCAAAGGACCTTGTATTGTAATCCAGTGACATTTTCAACCTTCGGAGAACTTTTGTTGACATTCCCGAGTCCCTGGCTGCCATCCCAGCATGAAATAGTTTCTGTTCACATAATTCTCGTGTTTACCAGTCATGAAAAACTCTTGCTTTTTTTTTTTTAAATAAACTTTTTTTTTTTTTTTGCAAGTGAAACTCTGTCTAAAAAAATATTGGCCCCAGGCATACAAGGTTTTGCATAAATTCATATGTGATGAATGGCTGATTTTAATGTTATTTGGGTATTTGTCAGAACCTAACAAATATACATGGTAATGGTGGTTCATAAACTTAAACATCTCAATATACCCTTTCTTCTGGAAATAAATTACGTTTGTTTGCCCTGCCTGGAGTCCTAAGGTAGCCGACATTAGGAATATTTTAAATGTGATCATCCATCCAGCATGTCTTTCAGGCGCCACGAAGATTAAATGAAAGAATCATAAGATGAAGGTCTTTAACTTTTAATCCTTTTACAATGAACCCTTAGATAGACATGGGGGCAGGGTGCCTTCTATGTGAGTAATAATGCCTCTGTTCCTCTTCACTAGGTTAATGAATACCCTAAATGTCCCAAGATCTGATTTTTCCCCCCCTCCCCTCAAACTATTGAAATTAGAAGCAAAGAGACGGGCGGTAAAACGCACCGAAAGAGGGAGAGAGGGAATGAATATGCATTCGGAGATACCGAACTAAGCGTCACAGAAAAGCAGGGCTGGGTTGCCTCAATGAAAGACCCACGGGTTTAAAATGATTAGCATTGATTCCCTCCGAGTTTTCCCTCCGAGTTTTGGGGAAGGAAAAAAAAAAAAGTTTTTTGATTCCAAGATAAATAAGGAAAAGGCTTTTTGCACTGTCAGGGAGCCTTTGAAGAGCACGTGGAGAGTTTGTTTTCGCAGTTGGTATCTATGAGATACGAACCGTCGGGTCTCCGGGCACGTAGAAGTCAAACACTGGGGGAACTGGGCCGGGTCCCCGCGGAGCCCCGCGGGCCGGGCCGGTCCCAGCGCTGCGGGGGCGGGCGGGGGCGGCCCCGGGAGGCGGGACGGGAGCGGGGCACCCGCACCCCGCGGCGGCACAGCCCGGCGCTCCCCGGGGAAGGGGGGGCAGCCCGGCAGGGGAGCGATCGCCCGGCGCTGGCGGGAGCCCAAAGAGTTAAAAGCGGGCCGGGCCGGGCGGTGTGCGGGGCTGTCACAGGATCAGCCTAATAACGTGTCTGCGCTGAAAACCCCCAAAGCCCAGGGGTCAAGTTTCAGCAGTGTCCCACCACAATGGTAGGTGTGAAAGACACGTGTCCCGTTGTAAATGAAATGTCAAGCAGTTAAAAAAAAAAAAAAAAAAAAAAGGAGAGAGAGAGAAAAAAAAAAGAAGTCCCCGAGCAGCTGCCGCCGAGCGCGCCGGGGCTGCGCGGCCGCGGGAGCGGCTCCGCGGGGGGACAGCGCAGCACCGGGACCCCCCCCCGGGGCCGGACCCCCCGGCACCCCGGCCGGGTAGGTGCCGCACGGTCCCTCCTAACAGAGTCGTGAGCAGGTTCCCACCTCCCCCTGCCACCACGAAACGTCCTGCTGAGCGTGGAGAACGAGGAGGAGAGAGAAGAAAGCCCCCCCGACGGCGGCCAAACCAAAAAGCAAACAGAATCCAAACGGCTCGTGTTTTAGTGGTTGACTTTAATTCTGCACTGCACTTTTACTACAAGGATATAAAGAATAAATAGCAGATACTCTTCATTTACATAGGATTAAGTCATTCAAACTGTTCTCTCTATTTACAATAACATTGTGCTCTAGGCGTTTATTCACTTTTATTTTAAATCTAAAGTCCGTAAGGAAAAAGAAAAAAAAAACCAAAAAACTCACACACACGCTTTCCGAATAATGGAAAATAGCTTTAACCGTTTTCTTATCAAAAAGTTTGGTTTGTATTTTTTAATCCTTTTATTAAAAAAAAAAAACACACCCAACAAAAAACTACTTCGCCAAAGCGAAGCAACTTCTCTCTGGAATATAAATACCAAAAAAAAAAAAAAAGATACATTAGCAACGATCAGGGTAATAGTCTTAAAAATACAGTAGACGCTGATTATTTCACGTATAATACTGACCTTTTAATAGTATATTAAACCGGTGCCATATATACACACAATATACATTCTCCTACACGTTACAGTGCATTACAACGTTAACCAGAAAGCAAATGTCTTTTATTTCTGTTGCAGCAAAGGTCCACGTGAGTCCGCTGGAGAAGGGGCGAGAAGGTAAGTGCCAGCCCTAGCAGGAGCACTTGCACTCCGAAATGATGGGGTACTGGATGGGTATCCATGTGCACCTCTGCCCTCCCCGGCGCTGGCACCTCCACCTCAGGATCGTTAAATGCACGGACTTGGCAGGTTTGCAAACCATGCCTTCGGGGACTGAACAAGACCTTTTACTGTAGCAGCTGCCCACTTTGACATACCGGGGCCAAAAGCGGCTGCCGAGATCGTTCCACGTGTATAGGACCGGGCAGAAGGTCTGGGACCAAAGCCACATCTGCAGCTTCCTGCGCAGCTTCTTGCTCAGCCTGTGCTTCTTGCCCGGCTGCAGCCCGTCGTAGAACTCCAGCCCTTTGATTTCGCTGGGCATCGCTCCCGAGGGTCTCTGCCTGAGCAGCAAGTCCAGCTCAGCTAGATCGTCCACTCCGAGCCGGTCCTCGGGCAAGGAAACAGCCATAAAGTTAGGGTCGAAGTGACCGCCCATGAGGTTCCTTAGCAAGGTCTCGTTAAGATCCTTCTCCTTGGGGTCAAATATAGGGTCGGGGTGCTCGATTAGATCCACCAAGGGCAAGTTGTCGCTGGGAGCCGGTCGGATGTGCAGATAGTGCTGGCAGGCGCCCTGCTCTAGCCGGAGACCCAGCAGAACCACCAAGGCGTATATAGTCACAAGGCACTGGGAATGATCCATCCTTGGGAGACCGGTGGGGGGGGGAAAGGGGGGCTGGGTTCACCAAACAGCAGGGGAAGAAGGTGCAAGCAAATACATCAGAAAACTTGTACGGGGATATCCAAAATAACTCGTCTTTGAGGGGGATCACCTCCACTCGCCGCACCACCAGCAAAGACAGCCCCCTGATAAGCCCGGAGAACAAGCCCCCTGCAAACACTCTCTTGTAGCCTTCTCTATAAAAATTTCTCCTGGTGGAGCCGCTCCAAAATTCTGCTGCTGTTGCTGCTTCTTCTCGCCCTTCCCGGGAACGGGAGATGCCTCTTTTTGTTGCGAATTCTGCTTGCTGCTGCCGCTCCTCGTTGTCTGCCCGTGCGTGTGGAAGAAGTTGCTGCCGATTCTTCCTCCCCGCTTCTCTCCGCCGTTTGCAAAGCAGCCTCCTCAGCAGCAACAGCAGCCACGCACGTTGGCACCAGTTTGTCTGCTTTGCAAGGACCCAAAGCCTTTAAATTTCCTGCACTTTCAGCTTCATCTCCATGGAAACCACAGACTCTCTCCTAACCCACCCCACCCCCCTTAAAAAAAAAAAAAAACCACACCACACCACCACACACACAACACAACCCCCACTCCCACAAAAGTCCAGGAGAGCGCGGCTTCCCCCTTCCCACCGGCAGGCACCCTCTGCTGGGGAAGGCTGAGGCGGGAGCCGCCGCCTCCCCCCGCCCTCCGCACGCCGCCGTTCACGCGAGCGGCCGCCGCGCCCCGGGAGGGAGATGCTGCTCTGCCCGGGGCACCGCCCGGCCCGGCGCCCGCTCCGCCGGCGGCTCCGGGCGCGGCCCCGCCGCTCTCACCCCGCGGGCGCGGAGCGGGGGGCGCGGCCCCTCCCGCCCGCCCGGCGCGGCCCGGCCCGGCCCGCGGAGGGGGATCCGCGCCGGGGGCCCCGCGGACTCCCCGCGCCCTCCCCGCGCTGCGCGGCCGCGGGGGCCGCCCGGCCGGCCCCGCACATGGCGCGGGGTGCGCTGCCCGCCCGCGGCGCCGCTGCGGACGCGGTGCCCGCGGTGCCCGGGCCGAGCGGGCCCTCTGCTGGCGGCGCCGCGCCGGGCCGGGGGTGCCCGCGGGGCAGCGCGGAGCGAGGGACCCCCGCGGCAGCGCAGGGACCCCCGGGTGAGCGCGGGCGGGGGCTGCTGCGGGAGGGAGGGAGGACGCGGGCTGGCACCGGCGGGACCCCGGTACGGACCCGCGGTCCCACGGCGGATGCTCCGGCAGCCTGCGCGGCCCCGCTCGGAGCCCTCCTCGGAGCACTTGCTCAGCGATTTTCTAGGGAGTTCTCCAAGACTTCTCCATCAGAAACGCAATTTCCAGTTATGCCCCCAGTCCATACAGGAAAAGATGGAAAGTACCTCAATGGCAAATACATAAAACAATTTAAAAATTGATAGTAAATGCTGTTCCGTGGCAGAGTTACTGTCTCGCAGAGAGCACTTACTGGGCACTGCGGACAGTTTGCTGTAAGGGTCTATTACGTTTGAGTAAAATTTCCTCAAGTGCTTGAATCCCATTCCTGGAGGCTATTTAGGCACTTAGGAGCCTAACTTTAATGGGACTGAAGCTTAGCCATTTCACCTGAATTATTTATGCATTTGTTTAAATCTTAACCTTCATATTTAGGTTCATTATGAAAGTAATAAATAGATTGTATTACCAAGGTTGTGTGTTTTTTATAAAAATTATATTTTTTCAACTGTTTTCACTCCTAATTTTCAATTTAAAACATCTCTTATTTTGCTTTATTCCTGAGCATATAGGGTATTTTATAAATAATACATAAAAAAATTACATGAAAAAGATGGAAAACTGACCCTAACTCGACATTGTAAAAGCCTCACAGTGACACTTGCTGCTACAATGTCAGTCAAAGATCTGCTGGAGTGTTATTAGAGTTTTTTAGATCTGGAAGTTGAGGTCTCTACGTTCATCAAGAACTTTATAAACTTTCATTGTAAGTTTGGTATAAAAGTTGTCCCTGGATACAAGTGAGAAGCCACACCTCAGAAACAGAACAGAAAGCAAAAATTTGAAAGTTACACCTAATGGCTTGTATTTTTCCTTTAATGATAAATTCAGTTTTTCTCAGCTGGTATTTGAAACCAATTCTTCAACTACAAGTCCCTAAGTCTGAAAAGCAAAGCCTATAAGGACTGAGTTCCACTATTTCAAGCCAAATGTGTGTTACAGATTCTACGTTCAAAACTGCGACTATAAGCAAGGACTGGAAGACCTTTCCCTCCTGAACTGAGTTACCTGTAGGAGGAAGTTTCTGGAATGAGGCTCTTCAAGCCTCATTAAGGTACAGGTCTGTCGTGAGCAGAGCAGGCTGAAGGTCAATAGTTCCTCAAACACGTGTGTCCACCTGACCTCGGGTGCACTGGGCTCCTGGCGAGGCCGGGAGAGCTCGAGGGATGCAGAAGTGACAGAAGTCACTTGTGGCCCAAGAATTTCTTGGTGGAATGGCTTGACAGCAGGACTGGGGAAGAGCTGCCAGTGACCCTGCCAGAGGCCTCTGGATCAGATGGAAAAGAAACTGGTTTATTTCAGGGTTTGCTGAAAACAGCAGTAAATGAAACCTGGAGGTAAAAGGGTGTGATCCAGGTGCTGTGTATGATGCCAGCCCTTCCTGGGATAGGGAGAGAGGCCAGTAGCTCACAGAGGCCTTAGCTGGTCATTCTACTGGCAATGGTGCACGAAGCAGAGTAGAAAACAACTCCCTTCGCCTCAGCTTTATTGGTTCTGGAGTGCTGTCAGTAGTAAAAATGTGTTTTTTCAGTAGACAAAGCAAATACAACCTTCAAGGCACACAGGAAGCCAATGTGGGCAAGAGTAAGATGCCACTTGTGCAGGGTCCCATCGCTGATGAGGAGAGAAGAGGTATGCAGCCTGCACGGCCCTGCTGACGGCACAGCGCTGCAAACACATTATGTAAGCAGCTGACTTCAGGCCACAGCAGCGAGGATGCACAGCAAGAATTCAGGATAGATTTGTTTCCCATTAAATCTACTAAGAGAAAATGGCCTGACCTAGTTCACCCAAACCAGCGCTCAGGGACATCCCTCTGAATTCAGCCCATGGTGTGGAATCAGTCTGCTCCAGGAGCAATGGTCTCAGGCATGATGCATGAAGCACTCTGAAACACGGAGGGAATCTCCCAGAAAGGAATAAACCACTATAGAACTGGGAGGAAGAACCATGCCAGGTGTGCTTGGAAAAGATGTGCCTTCCTTAGGAGTGGAGGCTTCCTTGAAACTATTCCTGCTTCCCTTACACTTACGGATTATTTAAATCATGATCTCATTGCCTTTTGCTTCTTGTTTTTAAAAATCCATTGGCACGAAACAATGATAGTTTGTTAAGGAAAGAAAACCAAAACCATAACCAAATGAGTCCTCTGCCCAACTCTCATGCAAATTTCTCATATGGCTTTAGGCAACACATTTCATAGCTCTGCCTTTCCTTATTTGTAGAGCACGAATGCTAATCCTTGCCTCTTCCATGGAGATGTTGGAGAGTTTGATTAGATGCTACCAGTATCAATGTATCAATGCAGAGGGAAGAGTCAAGTGTTTTACAAAAATTATAGAGGAAACAACTGAATTAAAAATCACTTAATTTTAGTCTTAGGTCCTAGCAAGCTGCTAGACCAGTTCCCTCTGCTAGACTCGTTCCCTCTTCCTTGGTCATAGCCTTATAAATTTTGTAAAGAACTCCTTACAGATTAATTTTCTACCTTTTTTTTTAAACTGTGAATCCCTAAAACAATTCTAAAGGAGATGCACAGCTGTCAGCCATTTTACATCACTCAAATGTACCAGATGACAATCTACATTATGAGCTATCACGGGTCATGTATGACCTTGACCAGGAATTCACACACCACCGGTAGAAAATCACTTTTCTACAACTTTCAAGCTATATTCTTTAGTCTGGAAAGACTCAGGGAGATCTTGCTGGACCTTTGAAATGTGGTGCTGTGCCTCAAGGTAGCTCATCCCTTTCCCTGCCCCGTTCCTGATGCACAGAAGGGGCCACAGAATGAAGACTGTGTTAAGGATGACCCAGTGTCAGCAGGTGATCAGCTGCTCTGAAGGAAAACAGTTATGAATCACATACTTTGGAAGGTAAAACATGTTTTGACAGAGAAAAGTTCTACCTTGAAATCCCAACAGAATGGAGACAGGGAAGGATACATTTAGCCAAGAATCTTTATCTGCAGTGATAAACGACGTATAAATAATATATTTTGAAACTCAGCTATGGGATGAATGTTTTATAGTGGAGTAAATCCTAAAATGACTAATGCATTAAAGCAATGAAGAATAAAACCACAAAAAAAAAGAAGACCCCAGAAATAAAACAAGTTATTTCTTAGTCTTTAAGTACATCTATACATGGAGATGTATCCATTGCCTTAAAAGACTCCTTATAGAATTGCTCTATTTTTTCTCATTTCATGTCATTCTTCCTCCTGAAATACTGTGCTTGATTCTCAGCCCACTCTCCTCTTGCCTCTGCATTTTTCCTAAGGTATAGACTTTTGTCTTTAGAACAGAGCTTGTGCATTCATCTGCTGATAAACTGTTTATCTTAGCTTTTATGAGGGCGCCTTGCTGCAAGGCAGCCAGAGACAGGATCCTGGGTGTTTGTCTTTTTTTTTAAAAGAGGGTCCGGGAAGTGACGGGTATTTATACCTCCCTTGGCTCTATATATCATGGGAGGTGGAACTCCACTGTCTCTGTTTCTCGCTCTTTCTCTCAGCAGTGTCTTCTGCCGTAAATCTGAACCTCTCAGAACAGTTTTCTTGGCTGCAGCCCCACTTGGAGGAATTAGTTTTATTTATTTATTTACGGAAAAGGTTTGCAACGGAGGAAACCCAAAGTTCTTCTAAATCCTTCCCCTCCTCTACCCCACCTAACCATCCCACTTTTTGTGCCAAATATTCACATCCCAGCAGATGAGAGAAGATTCCAGCGTCTCACAGTGCGCAGACCAATTCATTATGGAGAGAGAGGCCAGTGGGAGAATTGGCAAAGATGAAACAGAAACCAAGGCATTTTTTATGTTAAAAAATGACACTTATATTTACAAGCAGTGGCTCCTGATGGGGATTTGAATTTCCACACAGGCAACATTGTTTATCCAAACAAACTCCCTGTGGCAGCATATATTACATATATACACACATGACAAGTAGGAATGTAGTTATCCTTTTTAGCCAGCCTGGTGATTAAGATAAACATCTATTGAGATAAACCAAGTTTTTACTATTCCTTTTTTATAAAACACTAAAGACAACTGAGTGACAGAGATTCAATGAAGCGAAAAATACAGCAACCCCCCCAATCAAGCCCTGTGTGCCTGGGAGTGATTCATTGGTGCCAGCTACTGAATAACCCTGATACATAACATTTCTCACCTCTGATATTTAAAAGGACCCCCTCGCCCTTTTAGCACCAGTGGAGCCCTTCAAATGTTTTATTGCTAATTGTCTAATGCTCCGTG